CAGACGCTATATCTTTTGATAGCCGGGCACCATCAGCTTTCTTCACCACATTTGCTTATTCACCCGCTTTGTCTTCAGCACTGTGCTTTTTCATCTCTTGACTGCTGCTTCCAGGAGCATTGACTGTAGAGCCTGTCAAGTAAGACAAAATCCTTGACAACTTCAGTCTTTTTTTTTTTTCATTTATTATGTTGTTACTTACTGGTCCAGTTGGGAGGATTTGGTTCATCCTTACATTGAGTTGAAATCCATACTGAAGGCTGCAATCCTTGATCCTCATCAGCAAGTGCTTCAAGTCCTCCTCACTTTCAGCAGCAAGATTGTGTCATCTGCATGTCACAGGTCGTTAATAAGTCTCCCTCCAATCCTGATGCCTATATTCTTCTTCATAGAACCCAGCTTCTCTGGTGATTTGCTCAGCATACAGATTGAATACGGATGGTGAGAGAATACCAAAAACCCTATCACACACCTTTCCTGATTTGAAACCATGCAGTATTCCCTTGTGGGTTGATAGCATAATTTAATTTTCCATTGTTGTTGTCCATAGGTGATTTTATTTCTGTGGGCTATTCTAGATAATTTTGTAATGAATGTGATGTATTTATTTATTTTTAGTCATTTTATTGGGAGTTTGTATAACCCTTATCACAATCCATCCATTGTATCAAGCACATTTGTACATTTGTTGCCATCATTATTTTCAAAACATTTGCTTTCTACTTGAGCCCTTGGTATCAGCTCCTCATTTATTTTTTTAATGAACATGATTTTATATAGATCTTCTTTGGAGTCTGATATTTTTCTAGACTGGATTTATAGAAGTAGAGTTATTGGATCTGAAAGGCTCTTTGACAAAAAAATTGTGAAGTGCTTGCCTGAGACTGTGCACTAATTCCCAGCCATTTCATTGGCTGAAATGAAAGGACTCATTTTATTGTTTCTTTGCCAGCATTTAAAAATAAGCATTTCCCCTTTAATTTTTGCTTGCTCATTCAACTGAGTAATTTCTTTTCACAATACACCTCTCCAAACCTGTTTTAGATGTACTTTCAGGATAAATTACTTGTAATTGAGTTCTTAGTGAAGTGGGTGAACTGCTCAATTTCCTGTGTAAAGAAAAAAATAGATTGCAAAGTAGTAGGCGAAGAAGAGTTTGCATGTAACTGTGCCACAACGTGGGGGTGTCTGGTGACTTGTTGGAGTGATGGAATATTTTTCTTTATGCTCTTTGTTTTCTAAAATTTTCTATATGTAGGTTTTGGATCATGAATGCAGTTTACTGAAATGATAGAGCCTCAAAATTAAGCTGCAGTGCACATGACTCACTACCTCAATTTCCCAGTCACGCAAATTCTACAGTGACGGCCACCCTGTGGCCTACCATGCATCCTTTGTATGTGTTCCGGGAGCCTGGTGATAAACCATTCATAGATGACTGGCTTTGGGCTAACATCTCCTCCAAAGCAGAGCTGCTCTCTTGCTGTGATCTATTGAAAGTCAGCCCTGGACACATGGGCTTGTAAGACCAAATAAAAAATAAGCTATAAGACGAAACCTGTGAGAGCTGGCACTCAACAGGACTGCCTTGTTCCCAGGTTCGCAAGGTTGCCACTTTGACAAGGCGCAGCCCTACCACATTTCCAACATTCCACTTGGAGGAAAATTTGTGGGGTTTTTCCTTCTCTTGGTTACGTGTTGGGCTGCTTACTTCAAGGTTAAATTTCTAAGTCACCAGCTGCTCCTCGGGAGAAAGACGAGGCTTTTTGCTGTTAATAACAGTTACAGTCTCAAAAACTCACAGGAGCAATTCTACTCTTTCCTGTTGGAATTGACTCAATGGCAGTGAGTTGAGTCTTTTTCTCTTGGCAGCTTTATCTCTTACCCAGGTTATGGCCTTTATAGGTTTTACTGTATAACAGCTTTCCCTGTTTGAGAATTTGATGCAAGATTCCTTTTTTAGTGAAATGATTCTTTGAACTAATGGATTTCTCAAGTAGAGATTCCCCCACTGTCTGAAAAGCAGTGTTCTTAAGAACTCTTTTGTAAACCGAGATGGCATAAAGCAGACCCCAGGTAAGCCCCAGAGCCTGAAGGAACACTGACATCAAGAGTTTGAAGCCTGTTCAAAGCCCTGACAACTGAGTTCTGGAATGTCCTTCCCAGGAAGGAGTTTGGTACCACCCCCAGCTCTCTAAAGAGGTCTACGTGGCCTCTTCATGTCTCCTTATTAAACCAAAGCTTACTGTTCACCTTTTCCCCCCCATATAAACAAAAACTTCAGATTTCTTGTGGCTAGTGAATACAGGCACTGATGTGGGTCTTTCATAAAAGTGAAGTGGCTGCACCGAGCCTGCAAGTAGCAGGGGCTAGCTGCGTTAATAAGGGGCACTAACCCCCAACTGGCTTTACAACAACCCTGGGAAATATCTTTGATGGGAATACTTTTATAAATGCACATAGGTTGAATAAGAGTGAGTGTTTACTTGCTTACACAAATGTCAAATTTATTAGAATTTATATCTGCCTACACTAAAATTGTTTAGGAACCATGAAAGTCAAGAGTTCGGTTGGTGTTTTGTATGTTGGGATTAAGAAAAAGAGAGCCAGAACTGCTCCAAACAAGTTATCAAGCAACCAAGTAATAAAATGAGCCGTTTTCCTGATTGACAGCATTGTGCGCTTATTTAGGTATCGCATCCATAGCTTAGGCGAGAGCCTCATTCATTGTCCACTTAGTACAGAGAGTGGTACACAGACACTCATCACAATCCCTAGCCTTGCGGAGTCCTTTTTGGGTAAAGCAATTTTTTTCTCCTTTCTAAGTCTAGGGCATGAGATAATTAAGATGAAAAGTCTTAAAAGGTAAAGTCAAAATATCTGTTGAAAGCATCAAGTTCTTTTTCTTATGTTTCTGAACTCATAAAGTCAATTTTCTTATGACAGTTGAAGTAGATAGCATATTTTCACAATATAATCAATTTGACATCACAAAAAAACTATCAGAGCTCAAGGTACTGAAAAATAAAACCACCTAATCACTTATCTCTTCAAATGGATCTTAACCAGGTTCCCAAACATAGGAGGTTTCTTTTGCAGGTTCATAATAAAAGTAGAAATCTAAGCATATTGCCATTGGGTGGATTTGGACTCTTAGCACTCCCGTAAGGCAGAGTAGAACTGTCCGTGGGTTTTTTCAGGCTGTAAAACTGTACAGAAGCAGATTGCCTCTTCTTTCTCCTGAGGAACGGTTGGTAGAGTCATACCGCTGACTGTGTGTCTAGCAGCCGAGCACTTAACCGCTCTGCCATCAAAGCTCTGTAAATGAAAAAACAGAGGAAATTGTTTTCTGGCATGAGATCTTTTCCCCAGTAACTTAAACCTTTTATACCTAGCCCGGAAAGACCTGAGTTGCTCAAAAAGATCTGACTCTTCTGGTACTCATAGCTCACATTCCTGATCTGCGATCTTTCAGAGTTTCTCTTGACCGCAGTGAAATCATAAACATGAATAATGTTCAGTTAAATTTGTGAGTCGTTAATATGAAGGGGAAATCTCCCCTGGCATAGTATTTTATTCACATGGTTTCCAGCCAAGAAAAGCAGAAAACTAAGCACTATTGCCTAGAAGCGTTTTCAATAACCAATCGATTTTCCTTGACAGCAGCTGATATCACAACCTCAGCACACTCAACCACTAATAATAATATCTTGTTTTGCTGTAGATGTGTTCTTTGTGCCATTGTCCTGGAGCAACAATAGGCTGTGATGTGAAAACATGTCACAGGACATATCACTACCACTGTGCATTGCATGACAAAGCTCAGATCCGAGAGAAACCTTCACAAGGAATTTACATGTAATTATTTCACCTCTCCTTTTGTTTTTTTGTCGTACCCCGCCACCCCCCCCAGCCCTACTTTCTTTAGGCTTTTGTAAAAGTTTTCATTTTTCAAAGCATTTCACCATCATTTTAAAGGGTGTTTTCGCTAAGGAATTAGTGTTGATAGAAATGATAGCAAGTCTAATAATAAGACACTTGCAATCCATTTTGTGAATAGCATGAAGCATACATTCCCCTTACTTGAAAAAGAAATCTTAATTGATTTTTCTTAGTGATAATTATTCATTTCTTTATTTTTTGTAGGGTTTATTGCCGAAAACACAAGAAAACTGCGTATAACTCTGAAGGTAAACATCATTCCACTATTTTCAGTTTTAAAAAGAAATTTGAGTTTTAAAAAGTAGTCAGTTACATTGTATTGTTATTATGTCGAGATTAAAGATTGTATTAAGATGTATGTCGATATTAAATCCACTTAGAAGAATTGAGAAAAGTGATTGGATAAAACTAATGAACAAAGAAGACTTTAAGAAAACATGTATCCTCAAGTTCTGGTGAGAATTATATTGAAGATATATTGATCTTTAGGAATAAATAAGTATTTGTGATGAATTAGAATCTTTGCTATCTTCAGATATTTTAGGGGATGTGAATTTGGGAATACTAACACACTTTGTAATCACCAGACTTTCTGTTTTTATTCACATTGACCTATCTTATTTTTTAAAATATAGGCAGAGCCATAAGAAATAATTTTAAATTATGGCCGTAGCCTCTCTTCTGTTCTGGAATGGAACTCAGCTCTGTGAGTCAACTTTCAGCCAAACAATGGATTGGTCTATAAGGGGAACAAATAACATTATTGAACTAAGCACACTGTAGAATAACCAGCCATTTGAGATCAAAAGTGTATCATTTATCTTATCAAAGGGCAAAGTTCAGAAGGGTTAGATAAAAAGGAGAAATGGAAAGCAGGAAACACAGGGAAGAAGTTGGACAAGTGATGTTTCATTGAGGGGCTTGTAGCGAATGCGATGAAAGAAAATATGTTGATGTTTAAATGGTATGGGCAAATTCTCCCTTTTGCCCATTCTCTCCTGTCAAGTTCTGTCAAGCAGATGGCTTCGATACTTAACTATGTGAACAGTTTAGGTTTAATTTGAGATTGTTGAAGCCCTTTCTTTTCAGTTAGGGGTCATTAAGGGTTTTTGTGGTTGTTGGCTTCTGAGAATGCACCTTTTAGAATTAGGATGGATTGACCAATGCATGCCATTTTAAGAAGGTGTTCCTTTTATAACAGTCTATCTAATTATTGTGATAGCATATTACATTTTTTGGTCATTGAATAAAAATCTCCTAAATCTTGGTTATTGTAATCCAAAATAGTCTTATCTCCACTTCTAGATGTCAGAGTCACCTGAATACTCAAATACTGGTTGAAAAGACGATCTTTAGCAAAAACTAGTCTTTAAGGTAAACAGACTGGATTAAAAAATAATAGTTTTGAGACAGTAAGTGAAATTCAACTGATTAGTCTTTATGTTAATCCCTTCACCCCCTGCTTAATTCTAGAATGAATTAAAAGTCTATTGTGAGGAATAGGAATAGGCTTTCCTTTCCTTCAGATTATACCAGTATAATTCATCTCTGTGAATTGTAGTGTGAAGCCAATGATTGAGACTTGTTACCTGAAAAATACAAGGATGTGAATACACTGGGGCAGGGTATTTGAGATGTACGGTTGTCTCTTGTAATTTGAGAAGAATGACAGGACTGATTGATATAAATATATACTCCTTTTTAGTCCCTAGATTTCTGAAGCAGAAAACACCACCTAGTGGTAACAAAGAGTCACTGCATCAAACGTCAGGTAGAATACTTTGAACCACCTTTCTGCTCTGTGAGAGAAAGATGGAGCTTTCAGCTCTTATAGTTACAGCCCACTGGTACAGATAGGAACTGAAAATACAGGGAATCCAGGACCGATGAGCCCTATAGGACCAGTGGTGTGAGTGGCAAAACAGGGAGGGTAAAGGGAGAATGGGTAGGAAAGAGGGAACCGATTACATGGAACTGTGTGTGACCTCCTCCCTGGGGGACAGACAACCGAAAAGTGGATGAAGGGAGACGTTGGACAGGGCAAGATATGACAAAATACCCATTTATAAACTATCAAGGGCTCATGCGGGAGGGGAGAGCGGGGAGGGAGGGGGAAAATGAGGACCTAATGTCGGGGGTTTAAATGGAGAGAAAATGTTTTGAGAAACGATGTACAAATGCGCTTTACACAATTGATGTGTGTATGGATTGGGATAACAGTTGTATGAGCCCCTAATAAAATGTTTAAAAAAAAGAGTTACAGCCTCTGAAACTCACAGGGGCAGTTTTATCCTGCCCTATAGGGTCGCCATAAAGTAGCATCGATTCGAGAACAGTGAGTCTGATTTTTGGTTTTCTGCTCTGGGATACTTATTTTTGAGAGTTTCTATTCGTTCCTTTTTAAGATGACTTTTCTTTTAGTGTAGCTGGAAGGACTCCTATGAATAAAATTTGCAGGATGACTGGTTTGAAATATGTAGCACATTGAGACTCCCTTGTATTACCGGTGTATAGAGTGTCTTTATATGCTTACTAGAAAGATGAGGCTTTCTGCTCCTGTAAAGAATTCTAGTCTCAGAAACCCACTGGGGCAGTTCTACCTTGCCCTATAGCAGTGGTTCTCAACCTTCCCAATGCCGCGACCCTTTCATACAGTTCCTCATGTTGGGGTGACCCCCAGACCATAAAATTAGTTTCGTTGCTGCTTCATAATTGTCATTTTGCTACTGTGATGAATCGGGCGACCCCTGTGAAAGGGTCATTCCACTCCCAACACCGGGGTCACAACCCACAAGTTGAGAACCACTGCCCTATAGGGTCACTGATCTAGAATAGACTCGATGACAGTGAGTTTTTACAGCTTATTACAGAACTTGAAGCATAATTTTCAAATATGACAGCATTATCGAGTTTGTATGTGTTGAATTTGGGGGTCTCAGTGCATTCATCTCGCATGAACTTATTTAATATTGAGTTCTTTCTTAATCAGAAAGCTGCCTTCTAGTTATTTCATTGTGATGATGAGAAAGATAGCTGTTCTCCTTTATGATCATGATTTATGATGGGGGTGTGGAGGGTTGTATTTCAGAGACGACTGGAGGTTTGGACTGCACTGGTCTATAAGGCAAAGAGGAATTGATTGCTGCCTCTGCACTTTCTGGGTGATTTGGCATCCATGGCTCAGTACCTACTTTGCTAATATTTAGGATGATACTTAGAATTCACCCTGTCCTGTTCTGGTAAACTGTGTTTGAATAATATGAACTGGGGTTTGAAATACTCAATTTTTTTATCGTTTTTTTTTTTAGGGGCTCATACGACTCATCACAATGCATACATACATCAATTGTGTAAAGTACATTTATACATTCATTGCCCTCGTCATTCTCAAAACATTTGCTCTCCACTTAACCAC